TCTCTTCTCTCAGAAGGATTTGAATTTGAGACAGCACAGATGGGTTGAGTTCATGGAGGACTATGACTTTATGTTGCAGTATCATCCGGGGAAGGCCAACGTGGTGGCTGATGCATTGAGTAGGAAGTCACGGGGTACTCTTGCTCGCATTTCCATTCTCAAATGGAAGATGCTAGAAGAGCTTGCAGATCTTGGTTTGCAGTTGTATGAGGATGTTTCACCGGCTATTTTATTTAGCCTTGTGACTTAACCAGATCTTGTTAGCAGAGTTATTGAGGCACAGTAGGAGGATGGGGAGATGAAGTTCATCTACGATCAGATTTCAGGCGGCGGGAATGTAGAGGGTTGGACCTTGCATTCAGACAGTGGTCTCAGGTACAGAGGGAGGATGTTTATTCCTTTGTCATGTCGTAATGTTGTTCTTCGGGATTTTCACCATTCTCGACTTGCAGTTCGTCCTGGTGGTACGAAGATGTATCACAATTTGCGGAGAGAGTTTTGGTGGAAAGGCATGAAACGGGATGTTTCTCAGTTCGTGGCTAAATGCCTTACTTGTCAACAAGTGAAGGCAGAGCATCAGAGACCGACAGGATTGTTGCAACCACTACCAATGGCAGAGTGGAAGTGGGAGCACATCACTATGGATTTCGTGACGGGACTTCCAAGATCCAAGGCAAGGAGTGATGCAGTTTGGGTCATTGTTGATAGATTGACTAAGATGGCTCACTTTTTGCCTATGGCAGTGACAGATGATGCAGAGAGGCTTAGTGGACTGTATGTGGGGCAGATTGTCAGGCTTCACGGGGTTCCGGTATCCATTGTTTCGGATAGGGATCCCAGGTTCACATCTCACTTTTGGCAGAGTTTTCAGGAGGCTCTTGACACGGGGCTTCATTTCAGCACATCATTCCATCCTCAAAATGATGGTCAGTCAGAGCGTACCATTTAGATATTGGAGGATATGCTACGGGCTTGCATTTTAGATTTTGGGGGTAGTTGGGAATACTACTTACCCTTGGTTGAGTTTGCCTACAACAACAGTGACCAGACCAGTATTGGCATGGCGCCTTTTGAGGCGTTATTTGGCAGACCTTGCAGATCTCTAATTTGTTGGACCGAGGTAGGTGATACAGTCGCCTTAGGTCCCGATATTGTCTTTGAGACTACAGAGAAGATCAAGTGAATTCGGCAGCGGTTAGCTATAGCTCAGAGCAGGCAGAAGAGTTACGCTGACAAGAGGAGGAGATCCTTGTCTTTTGAGGTAGGGGATCACATCTTTCTCAAGATTTCTCCACGGAAGGGACTTTTGAGATTTCGGTAGACGGGCAAGTTGTCTCCTAAGTTCATTGGACCATTTCAGATTTTGAAGCGCGTCGGTGAAGTTGCTTATCGTTTGGCATTGCCGCCAGACCTGGATAGGGTTCACAACGTCTTTCATGTATCTATGTTGAGGAAGTACGAGTCGGATCCATCTCATGTTTTACGGTGGACAGATGTTGTTGTCGATGAGGACGTGACCTACGAGGAAGGTCCAGTCCAGATTCTTGATTCACGGGAGCAGGTTTTGTGGACCAAGACCATTCCATTGGTTAAGGTCTTGTGGAGACATCACGGCGTTGAGGAGGCTACCTGGGAACTCGAACAGGAGGTTCGTTCTCGGTATCCCCATTTGTTCTCTCTTTCAGGTACGACTCGATTTCGGGGACGAAATCCTTTTAAGGAGGGTAGGTTGTAAAGACCCGGTCTTTTTCCTCCTTTTCCATTTTTGGCAATTTTCCTTTTTCGTCTTTTTCCTATTTTGTCTTTCCCTTATTTCGTCTTTTAGTCATTTTTCATTTTTCCTTGCATAACCTCACTTCTTGTGCTCGGATTTGATTCCGATTTTGCATGCATTCATGATATTTGATTTCCATGACATTGGTATTTTTACTTTTCTTGAAAAACATGCTAGATTAGTACTTTTCTTGTAAAGGGCATGAATGCATACTTTAATGTAATTATTTATAACTTTTAGGGTTTTAGTGTAATTATGTAAAATAATTATTTTTTGTTTTGGGGACCTTTTTGTAATTTATTTTGGAAGATATTTTAAAAAATGACCATTTTGCAATTTTTGGAAAGTGTGACAAGTGTCACACTCTCATGGAGCCATTTGTTGGCATTTAGGTGAAGAGACTTAGCACCATGACTTCTTGACATTTGGTGGGTGGAGATTCATTCATGTGTTGGCCTTAGATTGGTGCACATGTAACCACTGATTGTTGACAAGTGTAGGTCTAGGATTAAGTCTTGGAAGGGGCATTGGATTAGTAACAAGTGTAGGATCAAGGTTTAGTCTTGCATTGTGTGTGTGAGAGAGGTAGTGCAAGAACACATAGTGAGTGGAGGATTTCTAGCCCTTCCACTCACCATTTTACACTCTACCTTCTTCATTTCATAATCTCTCATGAACCCTAGCAAATCCACCATTGGAGGAAAGCTTAGTTCATAGCTTCTCCCTTCAATTTGGCTCACTTCCTTTCACCTTAGAGTAAAAACCTTGGGAGATAAAAGATTCCTCTCACTCTCCTCTTTAATAACCCTAAACTTGTTTTACATTTAGAGCTTGGTTGCTTGGATTATAGAGATTCAATTCTCTATTGAGGTAGGGGTAGTAGTATGTTTATATTCTAAGTGTTTTATAATCATTGGAGTTTAATATATATTGTGTACATGCTTTTAATATGATAGTTGTGCATATTATAGGAAACCCTCACTTCGTGACTTAGGGTTTATTGAGTTAAGCATGTATGATATGTATAAACCATGTGTTGAGGATTATATAATTTAGTAGCATGCTAAATTCTAGAAATTTCACATGTGTTAGTGATATGGGACACTTGTAGAATTATTGATGTTATATGAATTGCTATATTTGTTGTTACAATAATTCTATGTCCTTGTGAATTACTAATTGTAATTATTTAGGAGCTTATTGCTATGATGTTGATAATTAGCAAATAGAGCTTGTTATTAAGGCATGACTTGAATTGATAAATTTGTGATATTGTATTGTGCATAATATCATGATGTGAATTTGTCATTTGGCATGCCATTCTAGACTTGGAACCCTAAGACATGGTTTGTATGGTTTCAAAATATTTGTGCTTGGAAGGTGGTTTGTATGCTTTATTATATATATATATATATATAAGTTTTAAACTTGATATATATTTTGGAATATCTTGGGACAGTGTTACATGTAACATGGCTAAAGTTCGGCTTTAGTGTGGGAGGTATGAGTTCTCCCCAATTGAGATAGTGCGCACTAGGGTGGTCTTCCTAGCGGGTTAATGCCCGGAATAACCATATTGACCTTGGTTAAGTCCAAGACGTGATGTCCAAGTCTTCCATTATTTGTCTTCGCATTAAATTTCAAGTTGACAACCAATGCTTAATTGTAGCTTGAAATTCTTGTTATTGGTGAATTGATGTTGTTAAGTACATTGATATTGAATTGTATTGCTAAAGAATCATTCAAGTTAGCTTAAGATGATCAATTAACACACCTTGAACATAGACGTTAAGTGGAATGCTCCCTTGTATTCGTCTATATTGATCTTGCAATGATATTAAAACTTTAGGGTATACGTATATGCTTCTCCTACGAGTAACTTGATTACTCACCCTAGTGGTTTGGGTTGTTTTTCAAGTAAAGAGACTATGTTCATGGATGCTCATCATCTTTAGAAGCTTTTGAGCTATTTGAAGCATTTTTATATATTAACATGTAAGTGTTTAGCATGGCTTGACAGTTGATATCATATTTTGAATGCCATGGGTGTATGGTACTTTTGGAGCTTTAGTAGCTTTCTTGATATGTAATAACACTCAAATATTTGCTTTTGACATTAGAAACATGTATGCTTTTGTACTTAGACACTTTTGGTAACAAAGTTTTACTTCAAATGTCTTTTAATCAAATCTTGAGGTTTGAGGGGTCAAAATCTTGTAAATGATGTGTATGGGGCCATGGGCCATTGTTTTGTATTCATTTACTCATATCAAAGTTGTTGACATGTTAACATTCACAAAACTCATTGAAAATCAATTTTGCGCATTTATTTTGAACCATCTCATGAAGGGATTCAAAGTAGGAGTTGGACCTTGGCACCTTAGGCTCATAGCAAGTTCAGCAGTAGGTTTTCGAGTTATTTCGATCCACCGAAACTCCATTTCGGTCGACCGATGTTAAATGGTTTGGTGTTTGCACAGTAACATCACATTCGAGTAGCCAAAAACACTATTCAAGGGTCATTTCGGTCGACCGAACCTTCATTTCGGTCTACCGAAGCAATTGGAACCTTTTCTTCATGATTTCAGGTCTCAGCACTTTCATTTCGGTCATCTAAAAGTCTAGTTCGGTCGACCAAAATAGCTAGAACCTGAGCCTATCCTCTGTTGAGTTTCAGCACTGATCATCCAACTTCAACGGGTCATAACTTCTTCATTTCTAATCCAAATGGGGTGATTCTTGAGCCTAAACTCAAGGATTTTGAGTCATATTTCCAATGGTATCAATCCCATTCTCAAATTCCAAACACAGTGGGAGTTATGTACGTTTTAGTGAAGCAGTGTTAGTTTTCACTTCAAACGGGACGGGGCATTTTGTGGGATTCTTAGCCAAAGTCTATGGAACCTCTTGGAATGTTTCAAAATGATTAGATTGGGTTGTATTAACCTTGTTTGACTTGTTTAGAGTTAAGATTCTCCTTTTAATAGTGAATTGACCTTTTTGCCCCGTGGATGATGAATTTTATCCTTTTTGACCATTGTTTCCGTTTTTGTTCTCTTTAAGTTTCATGATCTCATGAAGGGTCACTTTGGTGTCTTTAGAGTGACTCCTATCTCTATAAACCTTGATTTACCTTTAATTTCTGCAATACGGATTCGTTATCCGATCACTTTCGGTTCATCACTGACGCACCGGGTTAAAAAACTCATTAAAATACTTTCTTAGAATGGAGTTTGCTATATCCAAAGAAGGTGTATTTACGAATCAACGTAAATATGTTCTTGATTTACTTAGTGAGACAGGTCTGTTAGGATGTAAACCAACCGAGACACCCATTGAGCCCAACCTGAAGCTGCAGCCTTCTAAAGATGAAGAAGTTATGAATAGAGAGCAGTATCGAAGATATGTTGGAAGACTGATCTACTTGTCACATACACGTCCAGATATAGCTTTTGCAATTAGCATGGTTAGCCAGTTCATGCATTCACCTAGACGAGAACACTTTGATGCAGTCTACAGAATTCTTAGATACCTAAAGGGGACCCTTGGAAGAGGTCTACTATTAAAAAACCGTGGGCATTTGCAAGTTGAAGCCTATACTGATGCGGATTGGGCTGGGAGTGCTATTGATAGACGGTCAACTTCTGGCTACTACACCTTTGTTGGAGGTAACCTTGTCACCTGGCGGAGTAAAAAACAGAATGTAGTAGCAAGAAGCAGCATAGAGACCGAGTTTAGATCAGTTGCTCATGGAATTTGTGAGGTGTTATGGATTTAGAGACTATTGGATGAATTAAAGGTCTCTAATCCGTTGCTTATGAAATTATACTGTGACAATAAAGCTGTTATTTCGATCACTCACAATCCAGTGCTTCATGACAGAACAAAGCACATGGAGGTAGACATAGGGCCATGTTCCCTAGGTTCCTCACGTCGTGACATTGTGCTATAAAACGAGAAAATGGTTCAAAACATGACGCTAAGGTCCACCTTGGATGAATCAACATAACATGATGCCATAACGACATTTAGCATGCAAAACTATACAAGAAACATTTTAACACAAACATTTAAGCACATAAGCAATTAAGCATGCTTATTCAAGTAATAAGCAAGTAGCAAATAGTCACATAAACCATGCACTCCATATCCCATGCAATCCTATGTAGGCCTCTACCCGTCGTCCTAATGGTTTTCGAACTATGGCTCTGATACCATTCTTGTGACTACCCGAACCCGGGGGTCTGAATCGTTAGCCGGGTCCTCACTCAAAGCCGAGGTCATCCATGTCAAACCCATCGTTTTAAGTACCACAACCTCACCCTTAGAATCATCTCTCAAACATCACTAGGCTTTCACAAAGTTCAAAACAATAATCTAAGATTCGAGAGACAGATACATTGACGAAGAGAGAGTAACTGGACCAAACAGACTCACTTCGGTCGACCGAAGTGGAGCTTCGGTCGGCCGAAGCAAGCCCCTCCAAATCGGTCAACCGAAACCCCCCCTTCGGTCGACCGAAGCAGAGGTCCTGAGAGCATGAGAATGGTTCGGTTGACCGAACCCCATTTCGGTTGACCGAAATGGAGATCTCGAGAGTCAACAAGAGGGGTTCAGTCGACTGATGCACCATTTCGGTCGACCGAAGTGGTTTCTTCGAACCCTGCATCCTGAAACTGACCTGTTGCACCTTGGAAATGAAAGGGGTAACTTAAATGGAGACTTTACAATGGTTTGCACTCAGATTAAATCGTCAATCAAGAATCACAGTATGAAAGCACCAACCCGTGATCACAGTAAACATCATTTAGAGTCAAGTAGATAAATTTAAAACATAGACTTCATATCATGGATAATATGCATCAAAATGGATTTCAAGCTTCTAATTACATTATCCTTTAAATACCCAATGAATTTTATACGTTTTACATCATATGCTTTACAAAATAAGTTCATGCTCTACAAAAATACATCCAAAATGCTCTCCAAGTGTCCTCAAACCTATGGTGGATTATCATCCGCCAACTCCTTGCCATGTCCTGAAAAATGTTAGATATAATGGGGTGAGCGAATTGCTCAGTAGGTAGCACTTAAGACACGCCTCTTGTGTCCCCGTGAATCCATACAAAGAATAGAGCAATAAGAAATGGGGTCATATCATATCGGGAATACACAACATAATAACAAATCTCAATATAACCAATGCAATGCAATGAAATGCAATGCATGCCAATGTCACTCCCCATTTTCATTCCAAAACCATCACTTTCAAACAGTTAATATAACCCGCCCTTTGGTGACTCTGCAGCGACACGAGAGAAAGATTGGCTAGTGTCCCTGACCCTTGGAACCCCCGTGGAGTCATTTTGGGCCCAGCTAGCTTAACCACGCTAGGGAAATCTCCCTAATTCCCTCTAGGCTATATTAACCCTCCGGCCCTTTGGTACCCCCGCGGCGACCGGGTTTTCATAAAACCCATTCATCAAAACCATTCTCCCAAAATTCCCTATTTTCATTTCAAAATAATTCCCTTCATGCAAGCCCAATGTTATGCATATGAGTCTCATGTTTTCATTACAACAATACAAAGAGATTTCTCACAACATAATTAAACATGTTCTCATACATCATTTATAGCATGATAACAACATAGTAGGCTTAGGAACTCACATGCAAGCATGCTCATCATACAAATTAAATTAATACACATCCTCATGCATTCATACATGTTCCATCAAGTCAAAGTAACTATAATCACTACGATTAAGCATGATAGTACACAAATCAAGTAAATTAACTCACTAAAGCACAAGATTTCGTGGATTAAGGACTCCTACCTTGATTTGAGCAAAACCCTTAAAATGGGTCTCCAAATTCGAAATCCAAAGGGAGGCTCAAAGCTAAAATTGTTGGTGCCTACGCGTAGAGCTCGTCGTGCTCTCCGTTTTGCCTCAAACGGCACCCCAAAATTCCAAGTATTGAGGATGGGATCAAGATTTGAAGTTTGAAAATCAAAAGAAAGGAAAAATGAAAAAGAAATGAAGGAGAGGAAGAAAACCAGCAGGGAGAGAGAAAATAGGAATAGAAATGTGGTCTCTAGACCACTTAAACAATAGTGGTGGGGTCCACCCATTTATCTTTTCTTTTCTCTTTTTTTCTTTTTGCTTTAATTACCACACCACACACACATGCAAGTACATCACCTCATCAAGACTATATAAAACACATAAAATAAAATGTATGCAATGCAAATGGACCCAACTAAAATCCCGTATGAAAAACGTGAAAAGACATAAATGCCCTCGCGGTGACGAAATTCCAGAAAATGAAAAATACTGAAAATTGGAGACGTCACAGAAAGTCACGAAGTAGGATTTTCCGCCAATGGATGAGACAGTGGTTGGCCCCTAAATGTTTGTGTGAACTAGCTCAAGTTTCTCCTTTCTGAGATCTCTGCCACTCTTCTTGAAACTGACCCTCTTTTGCTTGCTCATCACGCAACTCTCACAGAAGTCAATATCAATTGCCCATATGCCTGGTAGTTTCCCTTTTGAGTGCATAATTTTGAGCCCCCTTTCACTCATGTGACCTAGTCTCTGGTGCCAAAGGTTGTGATCTTCTCTGTTTTCTGCAACTGCTATAGACCCACAAGCACTGGTAGTTGTGTAGAGAGTGCCAGATTTCTTACCACGTGCATTGGTCATAGCGCCTCTGGAAACTTTCCACGAGTCTCCATTGAAGGTTGTAACAAAAACTTCATCTAACAATTGTCCCACCGAATTCAGATTCTTCCTCAAGTCAGGGATGTGTCTCACATCCTTCAACTTCCAAGCTGACATATTTAACTTGATTTGTACTTCACCCTTGCCAATAACGCTGCAAGGTTGATCATCACCAAGATATACCTTGCCAAGGTTACCCAGTTTATAGCTATTAAATAGCTCTTTGCTTGAGGTGCCATGAAACGATGCACCGGAATCTAAAACACATGACTCCGTCTTGCTCTCCAAAGAGCATATCAATGCATCATCTGATTGTTCTGAGGCAACGTTTGCTTCAGTTTTTCTTTCAGTTCCCTTCTTTAGAAGTTTGCAATAAACACAATAATGTCCATTCTTTCCACAATTCCAACACTCAACGTCACTGAGATCTGTGAAATTCTTTAAATTTTGAGACTGTGTCCTTCCATTCCTTGACTTGGATCTGCCTCTGTTTCTATTACTGTTGCCCTTCTTCTTGTTTGAACCCTTATCTCTGCTTTCAACATTCAACGCCGAACCACTGGTGGAAACTCCTGTTGTTTGCCTTCTGATTTCTTCAGTCAGAATTATGCTCACAACTTCATCAAACTTCAACTTGGTCTTCCCTACAGAGCTACTGATCGTTGTAACTGTGCCACTCCAACTCTCGAGTAACTGCCCTAAAATTAGCATTGCTCGGACCTCGTCTTTGAAGTCAATATCAATAGACTCTAATTACCCAACTATCTCGTTAAACACATTTAGATGTTCGTTGAACTTACCACCTTCGACCATCTTCATGTTGAACAACATCTTGATCAAGTGTACCTTGTTCGCTGCAGAAGGCTATTCATACATACTAGAAAGGGCTGCCATGAGAGACATCGTCATCTTCTCATTCTTGATATTGAAGGCGACTGATTTTGACAATGTCAATCTGACGGTGCCAAGAGCCTTCCTATCAAGTAATTCCCATTCTGCATCCTTTGTATCCTCTGGCTTCTATCCCAAAGGTTGATACAGATTTTTCTGAAACAAGAGGTCTTCAATTTGCATCTTCCAGAAACCGAAGTTTGTGCCATCGGACTTCTCGATCATGGATGTGGATGTCTTATCTTCTAATGCCATTATTCCCACTCGAACGGACAGATCTGATCGAAAGACTTTTAGAATTTCATCAAACACCTTCTGTGGCCTAGGTTCTCAACCAAAGGCTTTGATACCAGTTGTTAGAGTTGCTCTGCACAATCAACCGAATTTGATTCCAGTTGTTGTGGCAGAAACGCAAAATAACAATGCGCACTGTTCGAGAAATAATCAAGCAATCATAAAGAAAAATCACACACAAGAACACAAGATATACATGGTTCACTCAAAGCCGTCCATGGAGCACACCGAACAAATTCACTATAAAAAAGATGAAGAATTACAATGGAGAATTATCTCTCAATCTCTCTCAATTGCTCTCTCTTGTATTGGCACAAATTTTTCTCTAATTCTCACACCCTCTAAAATCTTATTAGAGTTGATATTTATAGAGTCCCCAAACTTGTCCAACAAGAACTTGCCTTTTATAGAATCCAAAACCAATAAGGAAGTTAAATCAGATCAGGAAACTGAACTCTCCCTGAACCAATAAGGAAGTTAAATCAGATCAGGAAACTGAATTTTCCCTAAAATTCAGTACTCTTGAAGTTTTTATATAATTAAATCTTCCTAAAAAATAATTACCTAATCAGACTCCAAAAAACCACAACACTAACTTCATGCTTTTCTTCAAGAATCAAAGACCTGTTTAGTTGTAGTTCCTCTTCCATACTTAATTGCTTAGTTCATAAGTTGCTCTGCTTCAGGACAAGATAGAGAAGAGTTGGAGAAGCTTAGAAAAAGGGTCTTGAGTAATTGAGAGAGAGAGACAAAAAAAAAAAAAAAAAAAATGAGTCTGCATTTGAACAAACAAGTGAAACTAGGAAACTTAGTTGAGATTTGAGATTTGAGACAGGTAGTTAATTACTTTTTATTATTGTTTAATGCTTTTTTTTTAATGGGCATGTGAGGCAAGTTTTTTATTGATAATATTATATTATTTGTCACCAACCATGGGGGGTGTGAATGTAATATTCAATTAATTGCAGAAGATCAATGTACTTTAGTTTTAATGACATGCAGGATGAAAGTGATATTTTGAAATTAGAATTGTAGAAAATTAATCAAAAATTTGAATTATTTTTCTTTACTTCTAATTTCAAGACACCAACCAAGTTCATTCTACCAGACATAATATTAGTACTTTTTGTCAACTAAATTAGATTGATGATCATTGGGGTTGACGCGTGTGTTTTCTTTCCTAATAATTAATTACTATTTTTCTGCTAACTTCATTTTGAGTCTCTCATTATATATAATTATTATACTAGCCTCCTAAGTGAGAAACTTCATAAACCTCCACGATTTCATCTCTTTAAAATTTTATTTTTTACAAAATTCCATATCTAAATGTTTGAAGTTCCCACACTAAAATTTTCATTTTTTACAAAAGTACATATTTAAATGTTTGAAGTTCAAATCTGAATTTTTTCAGATCCGTATTCTTTGTATTCGAAGTATTGCTCTGATTTTTCAGATTAAAAAAATAAAATAAAAAGAAAAAAGTACTATAATTTTTTGTTCAGGTTATACTTTTTTTTTTTTTTTTTTAATTTTTTTTATTTGAAAAACAACCGAATACTTCGAAACAGAGAATAAGGATCTGATAGTACTTTTTCCACTGATTTTTTTATTTTTTTCATCTGAAACCTCCACGGTTTCATCTCACTTTAAAATTTTATTTTTTACAAAATTTCATATCTAAATGTTTGAAGTTCCAATACTAAAATTTTCTTTATACAAAAGTCCATATCTTAATGTTTGAAGTTCAAATCTGAATTTTTTTAGATTCATATTATTTGTATTCGGAGTATTGCTCTAATTTTTCAGATTAAAAAAATAAAAAAAATTATCATAAAATAAAAAGAAAAAAGTACTATAAATTTTTTTTAGATTATACATTTTTTTTTTTCATCTGATTTTATTTTTTTTATTTGAAAAACAACCGAATACTTAAAAATAAAGAATAGGGATTTGAAAAAATCAAATAATTTTAGAGAGAGAACCAAATTATAGTACTTTTTTCACTGGTTTCTGGAGGCTAGTATAGTAATTATATATAATGAGAGACCCAAAAGGAAGTTAGTATAAAAATAGTAATTAATTATTGAAATTTTGTAAAAAATAAAATTTTAAAGTAAGATGGAACCATGGAGGTTTCTGAATTTCTTAATTAGGAGGCTAGTATAATAATTATATATAATGAGAGACCCAAAAGGAAGTTAGCAGGAAAATAGTAATTAATTATTAGGAAAGAAAACACACGCGTCAACCCCTCAACTAGCGACTGATCATGGGGGCGACTGTGATTAGCATCCCTCTTATATTTATGTTGTTGTGCTGTTGTATTTGGATTTTTATTGGGCCTGAGATCTTTCAAATGGCTGGCTCGGCCCAGCTCATTTGGTTTGAAGAGACGAAGGTGAAATGATGTAATGTAGCCCAATGATGCATGCTGATAAAAATGTAATAATATTAGAAAGTTAACAAGAACAATACTAACAAATAATAATAATAATAAATAAAATGAAAAACCAAAAAACTGATGTTATTGTTGGAAGCTTGATTCCAGTGATTTTTCTTCAGCAAGGCCCCTGGGTAAACACAGAACAGTATCTGAAGATATATGCGAAAAAAAAAAAAAAAGGATCTGGATTGTAATATAACTTCAACAAAACAAGTATATGCCAACACAAAGACAATTCTGAAAATGAGAACAAATTTTTTGAAACAATTTTTGCTGTTGAAAAGGCTGTCTGTAAAGAGGTTGTCTTACGAGAATTAAAGGCAAGACTTGCACAATTTCTACTAGTTTCGGCTTCAAAGCCGAAGGCCACCAATGGCAAGAATGTTCCACAATTTCTACAGGTTTTGGGGTTGTCTCCTTATCTAATTAAGGTTAATCCTCTTACTTAGTATTGGTAGAAGATTGGTGGAAGCAAATATTTTACATTTTGAAATAAAGTGTTGAAAAGTGAATGACTGACAAAATATCAATATGCTTTATGAACAAGAGTTGTATTCATTTCTCAGGTGTGCTTGTATTTTATTTCCAAAACAGTATTTCAGTGGAGAAGATCAATCATGGACGCTTGTATTTCTTCTAGTGTTCTTCCTTTTGTCTCTGGCACCAGGATTGCAACAAATACGATGACTAAACCGGAAAATATTGTGTAGATGAAGAATACTCCTGAAGCAGTGTGGCCTTATTAGCACCATGTAGAAAATACACAGATATCATCTATATATATATATATAGAGAGAGAGAGAGAGAGAGGCATCACCTGCTGAGCTCCATTCAAATAAGAAGTTAAAGGTATAGGAAACAACCCAAGAACCAAACCAGTTGGTCAAAGTCACCAAGCTTCCAGCTGAACCCTTAATGTTAATAGGGAATATCTGAAATGGCAACACATAAATGTATTCACATTCATGCCATATTAGACTCTAGTTTGCAATTTATAAGTATAATATATATATATATATATATATACACACTTTTACGACCAGTAAATAAATTACCTCTGACATGATGACCCATGGTGTACCACCCACGCCGGTTGAAAAACCAACAGAAAACACCTGGTTTCAGAATCAGGACACACACAAAACAAGAAAGAAATAAATGATTAACAAGCTTTGGGCCATTTTACTTTAAATTTGACATAGTAGAAAAAGAAAAGCGCACACAAACACACAAGAATTTAAATGAATGGCCATGGGAGCAACTACGGCCATTCAAAGGTTTACAAAATCAGCACAGAGCAGTGCATATGCTCGTTTAGGCCCCCACATTATATTCATGGGGAGGCTGTAATTTTTTTCCCCTTGGCAAGAAACTCGCAAGCCCATTTGCCTATATGGGGACTTGAACCCTCGCCTCTCACCTTCGGAGGTTGAGAAAATACCAATAGGCTAGAAACTTTGGTGGTATGGAGGTTGTACGTGAATGTGAGAAAATAAAAAAAATAAAAATAAAAACATATTTTTGGTAGGTAAAGAGAACACAAACATAAGACCAATATCTTAAATTAGATCTTTTTCACTTTCATAATATCAAGACAGAGGATAGAACAATTGTTTGGTTAGACATGGTACCAGTATGCCACTCAGAACCAATGCGGCAGTGAGCTCCTTCAGTTGTTGAAAATCCTGGTCGCGGTGAATTAATGTTTTAGAACATAATTATTTTCCGAACATAGAAATGTAAAGATATATAGTTTATAAGAAACCTGCAAGAGGAATGCCAATCCTACAAGAAAGGCTCCCAAGCATGTTACAGCTGCAGTAACCTACAAAGATTTCGGTTACTGGCTCATCTATCAACTACATTAAAACTCCCAACAAAAAAATTTAAAAAAAAAAAAATGTCGTTCACATTCTAACCATCAGAAGTGGTCGTCGTCCAAATTTATCCATCGAGTATAAACCCAAAAAGGAGCATGGAATCTGCAAAAGAATGTCAATATCATCTAGGAAGTGCCTTAAATAAAATCCCACATATAAAGTTACACTTAAAAGAGTTAAGAACCTGAATAATAGCCATTGCTGTAGTGCCAACACTAGCCGAGCTACCTACCATATGTAAGATACAAATTCAGATATTCACTACTCAAATAGCTCTTTCAATTCATTAGTCACTAGTTGACATTACTAAAGATATTTAACTTACCAGCAGCTTCAAAAATAGAGCCTGCATAAAATGCAATTCCACAGTTCCCTCCAAATTGTACCAGTAACATTAGCCCGACTCCAACCTTGTGCAATTTGTTGTATTCATTAGAGGTCAGAGAAGTTATGTAAAAGGTAACAAGCCACAATTAATTAGGATTAATGTTGAGGCTTACAATGAGTGAGTGAGCATATCTCCGCTCAAACAAGTCTAAAATTCTGGATTGTGAGAGTCCTTGAAGAATTTCTGTGTATTCCTGTAAAACAACGAGGACTTATTTTCTTCTTCTCGACAGTGAGTTTTGAATTGACTTGTTAAGTTCAAATGTTACCTTGATTTCAGCTGCTTCTTGAGAAATATCGAATTTTTCACCCCTCAGACGTTGCAGAGTCGCTTCTGACTCTTTTTCTTTACCAATCATTGCCTGCAGAGTGAAAATGAAATTGCACTCATCAGTTTAGCATTCAAAGGTATGTTTCTTTTATGTGTTTTGCTGAATTAGCTCAAATGAAAAATACAAAGATAAGAAAAATGATTAGTCCAAAATTCTTTTGTTAAATTGGGTTTCATAGTTTTAACATGCTTTGGTTCAAAAGAAGCAAAATAATTCCGTTAAACAAAAATTTGAGCACTCCATTTTTCTTTCAATTTTACTTCACTCTTTTGGACTAAAAACATTCCTTGTAACGCTCACCTAAATAACAAGATTAAATTTTGAATCAAACTCACCAACCATCTTGGAGACTCTGGTATGAAGAACAAACCAACAACTTGAACCAGACATGGTACAATTCCTAAAATTGAAACAAAAAATGCAAACTCGTATTAATGGTACCGCCTTCAGACTCTACTAAACAACACAAAAGTGAAGCAAGGTACCTATTAAAGCCAAGAAGCGCCAAGTAATGAAATTTCCAACGAAAAACACCAGTGACATGCCAATTAATTGTGACAACTGTAGAATTGCCAAAACATATTACAGAAGAGCTGATTCTTTAATCCAAATTTATGATAATTTTGATCTATTTTAATTTTGATTTACCGGATTAAATGATGAACATCCTCCTCGAATATTCTTAGGTGTGATTTCTGCTATATACACGCTTGCCTGTTTGGCCATGGGAATGTAAGCCAGATATGCTGATACAAGGACAGAGAAAACAATAATCTGCAACACTTACCACATAATAATTAATCCCAACTCCAATTCCCAATGATAGTCTTCCAATGTCAAGCCACCAAGCTCCCTTTTGACAAGCACCGAACAATTAATATCAATCATGCAATCCAAAAAAATGAAAAAGAATATTCTACAGAGTTGATTAAGATTGAGTAATCTGTCACTTTTTATTATTTTTTTTAATTTTTTTTTTTTTTTCTAATTTTTTTGATGCTCTTATGAACAATAAAAACACATATAACTTAGTATCTTTCTCGAGCAGCTTCATAAAAAGTTACGTTTAATGCTGCTATTTTTTACTGCTGTCATCTTATTAAAATGAAAATCAAGTTGAAGAGTGATCCCAGCTTGTAAGTTGAACAAAACAAAAATGAAAATAGGTTCACTAAGAAGTTTTTCGTAATTGCACTTGTTTTCTCTAGGAAGTAAATTCTAATAAAACTGCTTTATGGGCACCTTAAAAGCCCCTTGATTGCTAAGATGTGTGAAAACATATAACATTGCAGTATAAAAAGTTCCTCTTGGCAGTTTAATGAAGTATAAATGAATTAAATTATGGTTTTGGGAAGGAAACAAGTGTAGTAAACCTTTGCGAAAATAATTGAAAGCCACCCCATGATGCAAAATATTTGCAAGAACCACATAGCCTGTATAACAACATCAACCAAAATTCAAGAATCGTTATAGTGATTGGACCAAGAATTTATACTATGCTGCCGAGAAACATCCGAAGGGTAAGACGAAAAAGAAAGGGGAAAAAAAAAACTTACACCTCTCCGACCAATGAGATCTGCAACTTTTCCACTTATTACTGCACCTAACATTCCTCCAATTGTCATTATTGAACTGAAGACTGAGTACTGCACAAAGAGGAAACAGAGTAAACAAAATCAATGAAACAGAAAAGCATATAACTCCTATTGACTGGAAACAATCTAGTGCGCTGCTTGACTCCATTGTCTCAACGAGTGTGTTCAATATCAATTGGCTATGTACATTAAATTCAAGTAGTGGTGATAAATAGAGCTCAGCCGTTTTGTAAATTCACTTTAACACAGAAGTGGCACAGTTCAGTGTAATTTTTCTGTTCCAAAGCCTTGACTATATACTTGTTCTGTAGACATTAAACATATCTTATCCTTACCAACAAATTTTTTTTTTTTTTTTTCCCACCGAAAAAGGCATGAACAATTCTATAGCCCCTTCGCTTCCTATCAACTGAAAGGCATGAACAATAATTCTATAGCCCCTTTGCTTCCTATCACAAATGACATACATTTTTTATTTAAATTCGGCAATGCGACAGGAATGCTTACAGTCCTGAAACAATGCATGGTCACAAACTTCACAAACAAAATCATTTTCACAAGTACTTTGAGACTGCCATTCATGTATGTGCAACCCATTTAAGTAATACTACCATGTTTCCTAAAACAAGAGATTGGTACACCCCAATTATTTTAAATAAGAAAAGGCAAATGATAAGTAGTTACCTCTGCAGTAGAGAGGCCTAGGTCATTCATGATACCAGACTCAGCAGGAGATGAATATCCGACCTACAAAGCAAACATAAACAACTGAATTGTTAGATTTCAACTTATCAAACAACCAGTGCCAGTTCCATGAACATATACTATCATCGATTGTTAATTAGGTTATCCAAATTGATGGGCTCTATTGTTTTCTATTTCCTTTTTCCTTTTTGGTGTTAATAAACAAGAGGGGAAAAAAAAAAAGGGCAAATGTAACAAATTAGAGTATTAAGACAGAACAACCATCAAGAGTCAAATGGGTGTGCTTGTGTGACTTATTACCAAAAAAGAAAAATAAATAAAGACAGAAAATAGTTTTCTTTAAGCAGAACTCCTACTCAAGTGGGACTAAATACATTCTAGCAAAAATCAATTTTCTTCCATGAAAATCTGAGGCCATTCAGTGAGATAAAACAGTTTTAAGACCATGGCAACGAAAGAAAGAATTTTCAAGAAATTAAGTAGGAAAAGGCCGATATTTGAAATTGAAAGTGGAGTTTTTTTTTTTAAAGTCTGTTTTATTTCATACAACAGTTTTGTGTTACATAATTAATGTGGAACAACCATGCCAGCACCATTCTTCATCAGGATTTACTCAATATGCAAACAATACAAATATCACAAATTACCTATCAATATGCAAGCAATACAAATATATATACCGGGATCCTCTCCTGTGCCTAATGAAACAACTAGATGTGCTAAATTCTCGATTTAATGGTGTTATAATGTTGCAACGCGATGTTGCATTTTGTGACATAGCTATGTTGTGGCTAACCTGTTTGTACGGGTTGAAGGCAAGGATAATAATGATGAGCTGTGTTGCATTATGATACAACTGTGTTGCCCCATAATTGACCTCAACCAATTTTCTTTTGTTCATGGTAAAAGGATCAGTGACAACATTTTGCTTGCCCAAGAAATTATGCGTGGATACCACAAAGACTCTCTCACTCCTAAATGGGCTTTAAAGGCCGATATTAGGAAAGGTTTTGATACTATTAGGTAGGACTTTATTATTGCTTCTCTGTCCCTCTTTGGTTTCCCTCCCACATTGATCATCCAGTGGGTTCAAGCTCGTTTAACATCACCATCATTCACTATCGCTTTAAATGTTAATTCTATGGCAGTCATTAAGAAGCTTTGGATCAGTTCTCTTCATTGTCTGATCTTTCTATAAACCACTCCAAGAGCCTGCTTTTTTGCTCGGGCGTTGATACGAGCACTTAATTGTCTTTACTGAATCTACTTGGGGTTGAAAAGGGTTATCTACCTATTATGCAGTCGGGCATTCCTCTCATCACCACCAGAATCAAAGCTAAAGACTGCAGAATCCTTGTGGAGAGGATCACACAAAGGATTGGGCACAAGACCTCGAAAGCTTTATCCTTTTTTGCTAGGCTTCGATTCATCAACTCAAAACTCTCATTTTCATTCAAAGTTTCTAACTTTATAAATTAAAACACTCTCATGACTTCAAAGGTACGTCGAATAAGGTCATTTTTTGCTCAAAACTCCCATTTTCATTCAAAGTTTCTAACTTTATACATTAAAACAGTCTCTTGACTTCTAAGGTACCTTGAATAAGGCCATTTTTAACTCAAAACTCTAATTTTCTTTCAAAGTTTTTCTAACTTTACACATTAAAACACTCTCGTGACTTCAAAGATACTTGAATAAGGTCATTTTTAACTCAAAACTTCCATTTTTATTCGAAGTTTTTCTAACTTTATACATTAAAACACTTTCATGACTTCAAAGGTACTTAAATAAGGTCATTTTTAACTCAAAACTTCCTTTTTCTTTCAAAAAAATTTCTAACTTTATACATTAAAGCACTCTCGTGACTTCAGTTGAACTGACAAATAAGGTTGGGACACTCACACACATATAAAATATTGTCTTTGACAACTGTTGAAGGTGGTTCGTGAGTAGGATTAGAAGATCGTTCCACGTAAGCCAAGAATCTTGAGACCAATATCCAAGTGGAGATCCAAGTAACACAAGGGATTCTCTGGGTATGGAGATTAAGAAAGGGAAGGCCGACCTCGGTACTGTATGAGCTTAAGCTTGTCAGAGAATAGCTATTAATGTGGGTAGTTGTTGTCTTAAAGGCTGATTAACACCCCTATTTATAGTGTTTACCTTCTCGGTCAATGTCTTTTAGTCCTTTGGGTGAGCTCGCTCTTACCCAAGGGTTTAAGGGTCTTTTCTTCTGACGGATGAGACATTGATGAATGGGCCGCGATGCTTTGCCCCCCAATCCAAAGAGGTAATGGCGCTCCCTAATTAATATGGGTCTTATCAAATGTCTTTTGCAATTGATGCGTTCTTTATCCTTCCTTGCTCCAACTTGGGTACCTAGTATCCTTTCCCCCTTATGTTGGACTCGGGCTGAGGCGAGCCCTTGGATCTCAGCCACCTATCCACATATCCTCAGATTCCCGAACTTCAGAGGGAATAGGTCCCTTTCGAGGTCCTGCCTTCATAACCTCGTAGGACTCTATCCCAATTTTATCCCGAGGTTTCCTTAGTTGAGAAGGAAGCGCATAAAGCAGGTTAGCCGAGGTCGCTCTTTCAGAGAGCACCCTCGAGCGAGCCAGGGGGGGAGAAGCCCATCTGACTGGAGCGAGGCACGTCCACAATAGAGGAAAGGTAGCGACCCCTTCCTCGGCCAGCGAGTTCAGTTATTGGATAGGTAGCTCGAGAATACATAGTCCACCGTGGACACGCCAGGTAAAAGCTGGCCAGTTGTGCCTATGTTGCAGAGGTGACACCACTTGTAATACCCCTAATTTTAAGATGATAGTCCTGGTATTTTAATTAAGTATTTACTTGTATTTTTAATTATTTAAATGGTTTTGTTGCTTGTTTATTTGAAATTATTTGAATTTATTTGAATTATTTGAGTTAAATGAATTCCTTGATTATTTTTATTTAGTTGTTTTGTTTAATTAAATTGTTGTGTTTATTTTAATTGAATGTTTTAATTATCTAACATGGATTTATTAGTTATTTTTATTAATAAATAAGTTAACTAAATAAGTTAAATGTTTTGTTTATGCAAGTAGGTTTTCACGTATGTTTTAGGGGTTCTGTATTGATAACCGACAGAATATAACTTAGGTTTTCTATGGGCCGACTAAATTACAGTCTAGGGTTTTAAGTAGACTTAGGTTATTTTTGTGTCTATAAATACACGGTTATAATCTGTATCAAGGGTTGGAAAAACCCTATTCACATACCAAAGATACAGAGAGCAGTTGTGAGGAAACAGAGCGAGGTTTAAGAGGAATTGTACAGAGAGGACCAAGGAGGTTGATTAAGGATTAGAGACGAAGTAGTAGGAAACTTGACAGTATTCAGAATTGCCGGAAAAACTTAGAGACGACGCCGGGATTTCATAATTGAAATCACAGGCAAGTTCTTCTCTTTCTCCTTCTCTTTGGCTCGTGTTCTGTGCACCTAGATAATCTCTAGGGTTTTATCAATCAATAACTGGAAGTTATATGTTTAATATATGTTATATGAATGATCTATTTATGTTGAAGACTAGTCTGTTACAGTTCATGCATGTCTCGTTCCAGTTGTTTTTCTGTAAGTATGTTAACTTTGTTGTAACTTTAGACTTTGTAATTAATTTTTAACTACTGCAAACGAACCATGGGGATGTTATTGGGATGAGATAAGATCCTTAGGTTCAGTGGTGAAGAGGAACAGAGGGGTTGGAATAGAACTGAAATTTCTTAAACCTGTTCCAGTGTTGTTTTTTCAAGCATGCTAGTTTAATGGTTTTGTTTAATCTCTGTAATTGATTTCAAATTATTGTAAAAAACTCTTGGGGATGATTCTAGGCTTAAATAAGACTATTAAATTAGTTTTAAAACCAAACAAAAATGTTGTAATTGGCCGGAGTTGGAACAGAGATCGGAACAAAGCTGAAACGGAGAAGAAACTCACAGGGGGAGAGAGAACCGGCTCTGCAATGCCAAGTGCCGGCTCCCACCTGTTAGAGCTGACTCCAAGGTGGTGTTAGAGATGGCTCTATGCTGAATGGAGCCTGCTCCATTTTTCCTAGAGCAAACTCTTTCATTTTTTATACGTACAGTGACTTTTTGGCTACTGTTTGGGCACTTGGGGTTCTTGAACAGTTTCAAAACTTTAATGGGCTTTTTAATAAATAATTTATAATGTAATCAAGGTCTTGAATTGCATAAAATACCCTCTTGGTATTAGTGGAATTAACAGTGCACTATTTAACAACTTTGCGTACGGTTAACGGCTGAAAGGAAATTTATTGTCTAATTTTGTTTTGACAATTTAAGGTGCTATAATATGAATCTAAATTAAATTTTAGATGTATGATGAAGTCTTGTAATTAATAATTTGGACTTGTGGCATAGTGTGTGGCTCTGTACTAAAAGATAAAACAGAAGATAAGTATACAACTTAGTACGCTGTTACCGGATGGAAGGAACCAAATCGCTTAAATTAATTTAGTGATTTATTGGACTATAATATTATTATAGAACTTATTTTAAATACATGATAGGGTTATTGTTATATTAAATTTGAACTATGCATGTTTTGGATGTTAATTGTTAGAATATTAAATTTTTTGATACAATTACATGGATTAATACTGGATTTCAATTGTTAGATTGTTAATTTTCTTTCTGCAATTATTTGGATATTAGTTTTGGATTGTAAATTACTAAACTGTTATATATATGATGTAATTTACAAGGATATGGAGGATTGTATGCACCGGTATGGGATAGTGACATACTAGGGACGGTTTAGCTCAAAACGCCTAAACCTAACCTAACGGATTAAATGAATAGATTTATAAATATTGAAACCTAATTTTGTTTAAGTCATATCAACTGCAACTAAGTTGAGTGGCTTCCTGGATTAATAGATGGTGGTTAAGTCATATCAACTGAATAAGTTGAGTGACTAACTAGTTGGTTTATTGTATGTCAGTTAAATAAATAGTTGAACTACATACCCTGGATTTGGACGGACTTTATATATATGTTTATGGTACCACGAGTTGAGCTTGAGTCTCAGACTCGTTGGTTAGAGTGCGTATATGCAGTGGATGCGTAGTTAGTTATAATAGGTTGAGGTGTACCCTGTTAGGTCTAGGTACTCATGCCCACCTTTGGGTGCGTATTCGCATGTTGCCTTCTATTCAGGTTGAGACCCCTATTATAGACCAGTGAATGTCCCTTAGTGTGAATATATTTATATGTATGGACTAGATAGATATTGTGAGGTGTCTACAGTGTATCTGCGTATCGGGTCATTGTATGGATTGCAGTTAGATTAGAACTTGCTCATGGGCCTGACCCACTCCTTTATTATTCTTTTCAGGTATTGGACGGTTCCAGTCTCAAGCTTGATCGTGCTAAGCAAAGACTCTCATTCATTCCACCAGCAACGTAGGATTTCACTTCACGCTTTAGTCCTGGATTATTTTTACTTTCAGTTATTCAGTTTCCGTTGAAGTTTTATTTCGGGGTCCACTAGTTGGATTCCCAAGTTGTAACCTTGGAGGTTTTGGAAAGATTGGATTATTAATATTTTTAGTTTGGAGGATTTTATATTTCTTTTGGTTCTTTATTTAAATTCTTAAATTTCTATTCTGTGTTCACTTTAAAATACTTTAATTGTTTGATATTCCCTTGGGTTTGGGCCTGGGCCTGATCAACCCGTGTCTCGGAACCAAGGGGTATCACACCACTTAATCAGCTATCGTGGCGCGATCATTAACATTTTGCCCCCCTGCTTGAGGTCGCCAAGAGGGGAGCTCGAACAAACCACTAGCTTGGTCTAATTTTGTTGTCATTATTATTTCTACGAAAAGGTTATATCATTTTAGTACCGAGGAGTCATGTCACTTCAAGAGGTCGTGTCGCTTCGGCTTCTTGATCTACGTGTCACCTCTTTATTGGTGTGTCAGCTTATGACGCTTCAGGTCTCGAGTAGCATCCTTTCATTAACCAGAGGCGCGATGCTTGGGATGCCGAGCCCTCACTATTTAAGTTGTACCAAGGCATTCTCTAAAGGCATAAACAACATTCATCCTTATTCTCCCTTCACTAAAGCTTCTTATTCAAAATAAAAGACAATGGCAGTGCGTGATGATGTCCCCGATGTCCCTCAGTTGAACGAGTGGCGAGTTACCCCTTACTTTGGCCAGAGCGACACCTTCTGGGCTAATAGTGATACACTGAGTGAGGTAGATGAGGCTCAAGAAAGCACACTTTTGTTCAAGGGAGAGCCTTACGCACTCACGGGGGCACCCATCCAGCCTAACTCGATTTTGCGATTTAGGGTGGAGCGCGGCGACTTTCCTCATTCCAACGTTGCCTTTACGAGTCAGACTGGTCATGGACGAGGGTGGGAGTTATGGAAAGACGCAATTCTATCTCACACCGAGTTCTCAGGAATTTTACAGACTTCGAGGATTACGGATGCTATCCGCAACACCCAAGAGTTAACCATACCTCAGGATGTTCACGACCTCACCCTCATGTTGTCTCGGTGGAGCTGAGATACCCATACTTTTGTCACTTCTTGGGGAGAATTCACCCCTACCTTAGAGGATGTGGTGCAGCTTATGTGCTTGAACGTGATTGGTGAACACGACCCCAGCTCTTGGTCCATTCCTGAAGATGAGGTCAAGCTTGCTACCAAGCTTCGCAATGGTGTTACCTCAGCGGGGAAGATAGCCTCACGCTATCAAGATGATAGGCTTCTCGAGGAGTTTCCAGAGACAGGCAAGAAGTGTACCTTCATGTCGCTCCTTCGCTACTACTTCAGAGATTTCCCCCCCAGGGCCAAAAAGAAGAGGAGTCCTTCGGTGGCCTGAAGTGCAGGGACTCAGCTCGCCTTGCCGCTTTTCTCCTGTCCTGGTTATCCAGATTTTTTTTTTCCAGGGCCTCCCGATGATGGGCCTTGTCTTGACCACATTCCCCTAACCGTCAGGCTATCTTATGGTAAAAGCTTGCCCTTGGCCGCGCTGTTCTTGGGTACGATTTACCATGAGCTTGACTTAGAGCACGCCCGTATGAAGCGTTCTGTGGGTCGTATGACTGTGGTTTCTTCTATCAACACAATATTTCTTCAAATGTTCTTGTATGAGCATTTTCTAAAGTATGGTCCTCGCTCCACCACATTACCTCATGATGGTGGTTTAAAACGGTCCTTCCAATGGCACAAGCTTAATACGAAGAAGAAGTTATCATAGTTCATTGACAGAGAGAGTTGTTTTGTAGCTCGCCCTTACACTCATGGACCTCGCGTCGAATGCTGCGCTTCGAGGGACGGTATAATGATTTCAGGCAAGTCTTTGAGGCGTACTCCAGCCTTGACCATCCTCATCATGACCTTGCCTAGCTATCTTCCCGCCCTTCTCCCCCCTTACTCGGGCATAGGTAAAGTTTGCAACCCTCATAAAGTGGCTCGACAATTTGGGTTGGATCAGGGGCTTTCTCAGGATTAGGCTACAGGGCGCGACAGGATCATAGTACATATACCCTAGGTTTTTCTCGCTTCCTTGATTCTGAAGAGACAGAGCTCCTAGGGAATTGCCAAATTCTTCATGTGCCCTCTACTCTAAGGGTTGGGAGATGGACTACGAAAACGAGGGCGTACTGGAAGGAGATAATTCTTTCTTTAAGAAAATTTATAAGCAACACTCATGTCCCTGTCCCTGCTCGAGCCTTGCTAAGGGGTGATGCCTCGTTTCGCTCCTTCAAGAATACCTTTGTATTTGCGCGAAGCAAACTTTGTGGTATAGTAGGTTTACTTCCTCTACTTTTACCAGCTGTTACCGTGCCTGTGATAGCTCTTCGAGCTACCAAGGCGCACCGAGACAAACGTAAGGCTGACCAAGACGTTAGCACCTTCGTACCTGCAACCGTTTCCTCAAAATGAGCTAAGGTAAAAAAATGTATTCTATTTCTACTTTTTTGTCAACTATATGCTGATAGTTCATACTTTTCTATTAGGATGCTCCAAAGGCTTCCGTTGTTGCAACAGGTCATATTACCTCTTCCGAGGTCCCTCGTCCACCCGCCCGCACTGGGGTTTCTTTGAGAACAAGGTCTCGCTCTGCTCACCCAGAAAGGGCTCCTGTAACGGTCGCGCCCACTGGTGGCATCCCTCGTGCTTCTGAAGCGGATGTTGGTTTGGTCATTCCTCCCGATCCTCTTCATACTCTGTTAAGCGTTCTCGAAGACCCTGAGCGCGCGGAGAGGGAAATACTATCCTCTGACTTGAACCCCCCTCTTCCCTTGCAGCATGGGATGGGAAAAGAGTTGATCCCTCTGGCCCGAGGCTTGGGTAGGTTTGACAAAAAGACGGGGGAGGTTAATACCTCGGCAGATCCTGCCATGGGAACTTTTAATATCGAAAGAAGCCCTAGTCACTCGCCGTCCAATAGAGTTACTACCTTTTTTTTCCCCCTTTTTTCTTCTCATTATTTTTAAGAAAGGCCAAAGAGAAAAACCAACTATTGGTTGTTTGACCTTTAGATGCCGAGGTGGCTATGTCTGATGTAGCCGAGGCTACTGCTGGCTCCGAGGGACATTTCTCCGACCGCCAGGGCGAAGACAGCGATGCTAGCTCGTAGGTTGAGGTTATCCACGTACTTCCCCAGGAACCCATTGTCGAGTTGCAGCAAATGGTAGAGTCAGCCATTAAGTCCCTTCATCCTCTCGAGGATGATGGTTCAGATGATTTAGGGAGCTCGAGTGCTAATAATTCTTTCAGAGGTGACACTTCAGAATCTCACAGCTCGAGAAACAATACTAACCAAGTTGAAGGTAACAGTTTGATCCCGCCGGCATCAAATGAAAATACGACCATGAAATGGGCTCATTCACCAGCAAAAGACCAAACCGAAGAAAATCCTACAAGTCTAGAACAAGAGGTGCGTGCTTCCTCGCCCGTGCTATGGGGTGGGATCACTGTTTCCGCGGCTGAGACTAAAATTTTGGACGAGGTTCAGGTTAAATACCCTCAGACCTTTGGGGATCTTAAAAGGATGCTGCCTTTGTTCCTGGACTTTGCGTATAAGACTACGTGTGAGTTAGTGGTCGGCCTCCGAGAGGCCCAAGAATGCTTCTTAGTCAAGAAGGATTTTGATTCCCTCGATCGTCTCCTCACCAATTTGGGCAAAGCGTAGATTGACGTAAGTTAGGCCTGCGACATCCTTGCGCGAATTAAGGCTTTGGGGGAACGGGAGAGGATGGTAGAGGAAATCAAAGACCTTCGTAACCAAGTCATTGAAGAGGAAGGAATACTTTACAATGAGAGGATCTGTTTGGTCGAGCTACAGGAGCAAGTGAATTCGAGGGAGCAGCACATTACTTCTTTGAATAATGAGATCAAGCGCAGGTCGTCTCAAGTCGGCCCTGCTATTCTAGTTTTAGGCGACTTACCTTAATATTGTAACATTTTGTATTGAGGGCAACTATGTAACATTTTGAAAATGTATTAGCTTTTTATCAATAAATTAGTTTTTTGTCGTTGACTCATTTTATCTTCTTTTTTAGTAGTGTTATAGAAGTTATAGAAATTATTACAAATGATCTCTGCAAGTTGTGAGATAAACCAAAAAATCATAAATGACCTTTATCCGAGGCCAGGTGATACCGTGGTTACTATAAGTGACCTCTTCCAAGGTCGAGGTAAACCAGAGGCTTTTACAAATGACCTCTTACCATGAGAATAACCTCTACCAAAAATAAGGTCAACCAGGAATTTTGATTCAAGAAAGAAAAAAACACATGCCAGATATTAGCCAGATATTAGAAATTGACAGGGAGGCACAGAGCCCCTCTTAAAATTTTATACTAGTTCTTTCTTATAGCAGCAAGTTTGAGGTTCAAGGACCTCTTACAGTCATAAGACCTCGAACGAGGCTTTCAAATTAAGAATAATATTTCTTCAACCACTTGGCATTGAACGTGCCCAGTATCTTATTGTTTCCCATTCTCCCGATGTCGTAGTACCCTCTAGAGCTGGCAGCCTTGACCTCGAAGGGGCCCTCCCATTTCGGAGTAAACTTTGGCGCAGACAAGTTCTGCATCATATGCATTGCGGACTTCAAAACCAAATCGCCTTCTTGGAATGCTCGAGGCCGAATGGTGACGTTGTAAGCCCGAGCCACCCTCCTCTGGTAAACCACTATCTTACTCTTTGCTTGCTTCCTCTGCTCCTGAAGTCCCTCGAGCTCCCCAATCCGAGGGTCAAACTGCAGCTGACTCCGCTCAGCTAGACTTCCAGAAGGAATTGCTATCTCAATTGGGAACATCGTTTCTGTACCATATACCAAAGAAAAGGGCGTGGTGCCTATATCTCCTTTCATGGTGGTACGGTATGCCCAGAGCGCGAGCGGTAGCTGCTCAGCTCATTTGTCATGTTGCTCATTTAATGTTCTACTCAAAATTCGGATCAGTGTTTTATTAGTGGCCTCCGCTTACCCGTTACCTTTCGGATAATAAGGCATTGACTTACAATGAGCCACCCAATACCTTCGAAGGAGTGCACGAACCCTGCTGTTGATGAAGGGGGTTCCATTGTCCGATAAAATGACTCGAGGTATGCCGAAACGGCATATGATATTTTCTTTGATGAAGTTTTCAACCACCTGTCCGGTTGCTGTTGACAGAGCTATTGCCTCGACCCACTTGGTATAGACTTCTGTTGCTACTAGTATCCACTTCATTTTTCTAGACTTGGGCAAGATTGGACCTATCAAATCCATAGCCCAAGTGTGGAATGGCCAAGGAGCGTCCGTGGGGTGCAGCTTTACTGCTGGCACGTGGATGGTATGATTATGGATTTGGCATTCTCGACACTTTCGGACGTAATCCCTGCTGTCAGTTTACATCATAGGCCAATAATAGCCCAGCTGTATAATGCGGTTGTACAATTTCTTCCATCCCTGGTGTTCGTCATCATGAGCCTGCTTCAGAACTTCGCGGGCTTCAGTCATACTGACACACCGCTTAGCCTTGCCGTCAAAACTTCGCCTTATTAACTCGCCATTGCAGATGAAGAATTGACTTATTTCCCTCTTAAGTAGAGTGGCCTCCTCAGGGTCCTGTGGGAGCGACCGCTTTTTAAGATACTGCATATACTTGCACCTCCAGTCCTCTTCAACATTAGCCACACACTGGGCCTCCTCGAGTAATTCTTGGCACTCAGGACATGCTTTCTATATTGCTGTTGCGTCTTTTTCCATCGACAGCCAGTAATACCTCATGCCTTTGTATTCTCTGATACATACTCAATGAGTTATCCCCACACATGTGCCTGTGAATTTCGTCCAGTACCTAATCGGCCTCTTGTTTTCTAATACATCTAGCCAGGGTTCCTCTCGGTGCCTTGAAGTACAACACTCCTAAATACAACGTAAAGCTTCTTAGTATCTGCAAAGGAATTTCACCTGCACTGCCTTTCACTTGTGACTCATACAGGCTCCGCTAGTCCCCCTCGTCCTTTTGATCAATAAACTCTTCACTGTGCAAACAGAATGCCAAGGTAGCCAAAGCGTCCGGGTGTCGATTGGCTGTCCAAGACGCATAGGTTATATATAGTTCATTAAAGTAACTGCTGAGTTTCTGAATGATTGTTCTATACACCGCCAAAGCCGGCTCCTTGATAGCATAGGAACCGTCCAACTGTTTTACCACCAGGTTTGAGTCGCCTTGAACATGCAACTGCTTGACCTTAGCTTCCTGTGCCGCCAAAAGGCCCAACACTAGGGTTTCATATTCCGCCGTATTATTGGAGTATCCGAAGGTGAGTTTGTATGACAGATTTCGGGCTTTCCCTTCCTCGGGGGTTAACACTACCCCCGCGCCACCTCCTGTAGAGGTCGACGACCCATCGAATGACAAAGTCCACATAGTATTTTCATCCGCCCAACAGGCTGACTCAAATTCATCGTAAGGAAGGTCGTCGCGCACCGGCTCAAAATTACCAGAAGGAAATTGTGCTACTAGGTCTACCACAGCTTGGCTTAGAATGGCCCGAGGCACTGGATGTCAAACTCGGCCAGCATCAGAAGCCACTGTGCCACTCACCCTGAAATGATTGGTCACAATAGCAAGTGTCGCAATGGGTCACACTTGGTGATAAGGTGGATAGTATGGGCCAGAAAATAATGGCGAAATTTCTTGGCTGCAAATGCCAGGGACAGACAATAGCGCTTTATCAGAGAATAGTGTGCCTCAGCACCTTATACAACTTGACTGATGTAATACACGGGGCACTCTCGGCCATCATTTTCCTGGGCGAGGAGCGCCCCAATGGAGCGTTCCATTGAGGTAATGTAGAGCCTGAGAGGGATCCCTATCCGAGGGGCTATCATGGTGGTTGACGAGGCTAACAACCTTTTGAGTTGGTCAAAAGCCTATTGGTGTTCCTCATTCCATCTGAACTCGGACCCTCCTTTCATCAGTGCGCCAAAAGTATGTGTCACTTCAGCGAGCGTTAGTATAAAACGTTGTAAATACGAGACCTGTCCTACTAAGCTCTTTAGTTGCTTGAGAGATTGCAGCGGGGGCATCTCTATGATAGCTCTAGCCTTACTTCCCTCAATGTCAACACCCTGTTAATGCACTATGAAACCCAGGAATCGGCCAGCCTCGACACCGAAGGCGCATTTTAGCGGATTCATCATTAACTTGTACTTTCGGCACCTTTTGAAAATGCTCCTCAAATCAGCCAAGTGATCACCCCGAACTCGTGATTTCACCACTAGATCATCCACATAGTCCTTCATTTTCCTGTGCAACATGTCATAGAAAATAGCTGTCATGGCTCGCTGGTAAGTGGCCCCTGCATTCTTCAAGCCAACGGGTATGACTGTGAAATAGAAATTCCCCATGTTGGTGCGGAATACCGTTTTCTCTGCATCACACTGCACCATTCTGATCTGGTTATATCCACTGTATCCATCCATGAACGAGACCATTTCATGCCCCGAGGTTGAGTCTACCAAGTTACCAATTATGGGCAGCGGGAAATCATCTTTAGGGCATGCTTTGTTCAAATCTCTTAAATCGACACAAACCCTGATTTTTCCATTTTTCTTCTTTACTGGAACCACATTTGCCAACCACGTAGGATGTTGAATGGTTTGATAAAGCCAGCTCGCCAAATCCTCTATACCTCCTCCTTTATTTGCAATTTGAGCTCTGGCCGAAAGCTCCTTTTCTTATGCTTAACTGGGCATGCGTCTGGTCGCACATTAAGATGATGAGCCACTACCTGAGGGTCTAATCCCAGCATTTCTTCGTATGTCTAGGCAAAGACATCTTCGAATTCCTTGAGCAGGGTTATTAATGCCGCTTTCTCATTTCCTTCCAACTACTTACACACATAGACCACCCAAGGGCGGCTGTCATTGGCTAGATTGATTTTCTCCAGTTCCTCCTAACTGAGCCGAGTAGATTCGGCTAATCCACTCTAGCTTCCTCCTCAGGGACTCTGCTTAAATGACTCTACACTGGGGTGCGGTCTCGCCCGAGGTCGTGCCCCCCAACATCGTCATAAGCGATAGGCAATCCTTCCGTCGGACAAACGTACCATTTTACAGACAGTGATGAGCGCTGAAAAGTGCGCAATTAAACCCCTTAAACTTAGGTATTCTAGGACCTTTATCTCTCTTACTTTTCCATTTTAGACTAAATTCATGTTATTGCCCTTTTCAGGCACTTATCCCAAAAATAAGTTAATTCAACCAAATCAGAGCATTAAAGAAGCTAACTCAAGCTGGTTGGAAGAAAGGAGCAAAGTGGAAGCAAAATGAAGCAAAGTGTGGAGATTTAGCATGTTCGATCAATCTCAGCAATCCTTCGATCGATCTGGAGCTAATCGATCTGGACATTTCAAGATGGATCCAAACCCTTGTCCTTATCCAAAAGAATCCACCAAGTTCGATCGATCCAATATCTCTTCGATGGATCGAAAATATTCGATCTTATTTACACCTACCACCCCACCTACCACTTTTGTCTCTTTCCCAAATATCTCAAAATATCTCAAAGATTTGTCTTTATTGAAAAAGGTGCCGCCAAAGAAGGATCGATCTCTGCAGCATTCGATGGATCTCACCTAAAGTTCAATCGATCTCACCACAGTTCAATCGATCGAACCTCCTCAAGTTCAAAAAAAAATAAGTTCCAGCTCATTAAAAGTTAGCTCATGGTGCAATCATTGCAAGGACCCTAGTGCATGAATCCAGACCATTGTGTGTGACACTTGACCTACCTATATAAGGATTTTAAGGTACTTTTTACATATCATCATCACATATGCTTACACATATACTTAGAAACATTCTTAGAGAGGAAGAAAAGAGAGAAGGATAGGCTAGAGACACATTTTTGGGAGTTCTTCCATTCTTCTAGGGTTTCCATCAAAAAGGAGGTCATTCCTACTATGGATATAGCCCTTGAGGGTTGGATGACTACTTTAATGAGTGGCTAAACATCTTCTTGGGGCTAGAGTTAGCCCTAAGCATGCCTTCTAGACTCTAATGTTTTGTATTTTGAGGAAATTTGTGTTGTAATCTTATCTTGAAACTTATTTTATATATGAATCTTGTTTATTCAATGATTTGTGTGGTTTAATACTTCCAATTGATCATTTCATTCTATCCAGATGTCTATGTATGCTAGAATAGATGTTCATGTATTTATCTCTAGTTCTTGTGTTATTGATGCATGTCTATGTGTATTGATGCTATGGATCTAGATATTGTCAAGGCATAGTGCTTAATAGAATATTATTGTGGTTTATTTGATGGTTTATACTCATGTCTTGATGGACTGTGCCTCTCCCTTAGTTTCTTTAGTTAATTTTTATGCCCTTAGCTTAGTTGTAGTGTAGTTACCTTAGTTGTTAGATGGAAAGACAAACCATGCTTGTTGTTTGATGTTCCATGCTTATGAATGCAATTAGTATTATTCTCTAACCATGTGATGTGTTTAGATTACGAGCTTAAAGGAAGGATTAATGACTTAGTTTGATTTATTGTGCTATTTACCAGGTTGCTTAGACAATATATACTTAATTGGTCATCCATGCTTGTTGAAACAATCAATCACACACTCTCAAATTGCAACACATGTTTCCCTTCATTAATAATACATTGAATGTCTAGAATGGTGATGTTTAATGGTGACCTCTAGACCCCAAGACCTCACTCTCTTGTTTTCTCTAAATTTCATTTAATTTGCTTATTCTATATTGAACATGTTTATTTTAGTTTGTAGTCTAATCAACCAAACACACCACATTTTGATCACTCGACCTACTAACCCTATACATTGTTTCCATTGCAAGCATGCCTAAAATCCCTTGGAACGATCTCTACTCACCCTAACTATATTTTTAGTTAGAAGTAGTAGTGGCATTTATAAATTTAAAACTTAGCCACATTGCACCTTACACTCTTAGTGCACATCTTTAGATGTTGGTGTGATGGCAGCACCAGATAGCTAGTTTCGTCTGATTGGCAGTCGTTCCTGGCATTTTTTCTCTCCCTTGTTAGTCAGTCTCCTCCCATTTTGGTAGAGGAATAGCCTTCAACGACTGGGGTTCCTCCGCATCCTCTAGTTCATTAAAGAATCCAGCCTCCACCATATGAGACTCTCTTTTAGTAAACGATCGATCGGAGCAATAGACCATTACTTGCTTCCCGTTCCAGTACCC